GAGAGAGATGGAGGGGGAGGGGGACAGAGACAGGGAGGGGAGAGGGGGAGGGGGAGAGAGAGACAGGAAGGGAGGGGGCAGGAGACAGCTGACAAGGGGAGAACAAATAAGTCAATGGTAAGGTAGAAACAATGGTAATGGAAAGCCTTAACTCCGTCCAAAGAAGGGGCTTGGTCATATTGGTGTTTAAATAAATAGAGGGAGAGGAGTCTGGAGCAAAGGATAGATCCACTAATCATCATCATTAGCATTTCCATGGCTCTTTAAAGTCTGCTAACTGCTTTACAAGTATCTCATTTCATCCTCACAACAACCCCTGGAGAGAAGTGCTATTATTATCATCACAGAGGAGGAAACTGAGGCAGTGAAGTGAAGTGAGACAGTGAAGTGACTTGCCCAGGGCCACACACCTAGCCTTAGGCTGGATTTGAACTCAGGTCTTCCTGACTCCAGGCTCAGCCCTCCATGCACTGTGGTGTCCCCTAGTTGAGAGGAGCAATGACTGGTGGACCAAGATCCCAGAGGACTGAGGCGGAAGGTTTGGCTCCAGCTGGAAGAGTGAAAGCCCCAGAGGAAAAGAGGGAGGGTGAAAAGGGAGCTGTTTAGAACCATAGAAATGAGGAGTTGAGGGATCTCACGCTGGACGGCCTGATCCATAACAATAAGAGCCCCCGTTTATGTAGAACTTCAAAATTCATAAAACACTTCACACACCCTGACCCCACCAGACCTGGGTGCTAGGCACCTCCAGATCTTATTACAGATGAGGAAACAGATTCAGAGAAGGGAGAGGACTTGGCCAGGGGCACATAGCTAATGACCATCGATGTCAGAGGTGGGAGTCAAAGGCACGTCCCTCCTGACTTCCCAAGGCCAGCATTCATGTATCCCAGATGCCTTCAAGCCCTCTTACTGCTCCCTCCTCTGGGCCCCCACTGTTGGAGTTACCTGGGATTGTTGTTTCCCTCTGGCCAGAGCCTGGCTCTTATGCCTCCCTTGTCCCCAGCACAGGGTCTCCAGGTAAGCATCAGTGCAAATATTGAACGATGGACTATGTTTGGTGGGATAGATTTTCTCTCCCTCCTTTACTAGACCACAGGACAGGGACTAGGTCCTTCCTTTTCTTGGACTCCCTGTAGTTGCCTAACACACAGCAGGGGCTCAGTTCAGACTGGTTGATTGATTGCCTTCTGCCAGGTATCTGCTCAACAATTCACTCAGCAAGATGCCCACCCCATCGATCTGTGCCGAGATGCCCGAGCTGACCTGGCTGTGAGTGTCTGCCCCATGGGCCTGGGGGCTGGCCAGGTGAAAGGGGTGAGGGCAGTGGCAGCCAAAGGTGCTCTGGGCTTAGAAGGGGTCTGGGAAAGGAAGTTCCCATGGTAGCAAGAAGGACCTGCCTTCCCTCTTCTTTCCTAATTTGCTGGGAAGGCTGGCATGAGGGACATGGAGCATCAGTGCCTATTGGACTCAGTGTACCTGGGTGGGCTGTATAGACCTGGAAGCCATAGACTTGAGGCCTGGGTCAAACTTGACTCACCTGCTCCCTAACCTTAACCTCCATCCCAGACCTTCTGACCCTCAGTCACCCTGGATCATAGACTTAGAAGTAGGAGGACCCTTTGAGAACATCAGTGTTACAGAAGGAACCGAATCCCAGGGAAATGAATTGACTTACCCAAGGTCACACATGTTAGTAAGTGGCAGAGTCGAAATTTCAAATCCAGGTCTTCTACCCCCCCCCCCCCCCACTACAATATTCTTGCATGGCTATTCTTACTTTGGGCCCATCAACTGACTGGGAGAAAGAGGTCTCTTTTCCCTGCCCCCACCATCCTCATCACCCATACTCCTCTTTCCTTTCCCTCTCCCTGCTCCTTGCACTCCACTTTTATCGTGCCTTTTGCCCCCCTCTCCCTTCCCACTATACTCCCTCTCCCTACCCTCTTTGCCCCCTCTCCCTGCCCCCTGTGCTACCCCTTTCCCCTTTGTTCCCACTCCCTTCCCCCTTTGTCCTCTTTCCCTTCCCCCTTTGCCTCCCACTCCTTTCTTTTTAGTTGCAGCAGCCCCATGGCCCCACTCCAGAAGCCAGCATTGGGGCTGCATTGTTGCTGGAACACCTTGAGCCCAGCTCTGCCTCCTCTGGAGCCTGAGGGATTCCTTGGTCTAGATGCAATGGAAACAACACTCAATTGTTCAAATCCTACTTCAGCTACCTAAGAGCCAAGTGACCTTGAACCTGGACCTATTTCCCATCTGTAAAGGGGTTGTTAGTGGTTCGGAGATGAGAGGGAGACAGACAGAGACAGAGACAGAGACAAAGATCCTTTCCAGCTCCAGTACCCTATGGTCTCTTGGGGCCCAGAGGCCCATGAGGTCTTTCTGTCCCTTCCCCACCTTCCCACAGGGACTTGGAGAGAAATCAGCTGCAGAGCCTGGAGAGCTCTGTGTTCCGGGACTGTGGGGCCTTCACCGTGCTGTAAGTATGCCCCTTCATGCTCTCAGACCCCTGCCCAGCAGCTGGAGGAGGGGGTCAGTCACCTTCCCCATCCCCTCAATTCTTCCTTACCTCAGGCACCAGGGAGAACAGCCCCATCTTCCCAATTTGGCATTTTGCTCAGGCCTCAGTTCCAGGGCCAGCAGAGCCTCCTGTTGGAATGCCTCATGAGTATACACAGCCCACAGCACTCCCATTCCGCTGGCAGGAGCCACGGCCACACAAGACAAGGACATTTTCCTTTTCCAAACCAAGTCCTGAGCTGCTCTAAGATGTGCCCTAAGCCTTGATCTTTCCCTGAACCCCCTCCTTGTCTACCCAGCCCCAGCCTAGTGAAGGGACCCATCCATCTGTCTATCTATCCACCCACCCACCCACCCATCCATCCATCCATCCATCCATCCATCCATCCATCCACCCACTGATCCACCCTCCCTTTCATCCATCCACCCACCCTTCCATCCATCCATCCACCCATCCATCCACCCACCCTTCTATCCATCTACCCTCCCATCTATCCATCCATCCATCCATCTGCTGTGGTGGCAGCAGCTCTTGGCTAGTCCTGGGTACCATACATGTGCTCTGGGGGCAGGCAGGGTCCAGTGTGGCTGACCCTAAAGCTGAGCTATGGGGCCTGCTGAGAGCACACAGTAAAGTAAGCAGCCTAGCATAAACACTAATATACACAGAGAATAAATCTCAGGCGGGATTTGGAGCCCAGCACTGGCCTGGGAGGAAACAGATGGAGGGAGGAATCTCCTACTCTGGGCTCCTGCCAGTTCTTCTCTCCCTCCCCCCAAAGCCCCTCTAACTGTCAAGGAGAGTCCACAGAGGTAGGAACAAGGGGCCTTGGGAGCCAAGGAGATGAGACTTGGCCAAGGCCACACAGGTAGGTAGGAAGTGAGAAAGCCAGGATGATCAGAGTCACCATTTGGATCGATGCCTCCTAGGCTGCCCTGCTCCAAATCCTGGCCCTGCTGGTACCTCCGGTAGGTCCCTTCATTTCTTGGCCTCTTCTGTAAAGTGAAGGCATGGGATTTGATGCTGAGTTCTATTCTGGTTCCAAATTGAAGGTGCTATCAACGAGCACCTTAACAAGCTTCCTTTCCTTGAAATTGGAGCTCATCTCGGGGTTTTCTGCTGCTTACCGTCCTCTGCCTCTGGAGTTATAACCTTTTTCCTAGCTCAGGCCACCTGCTTTTTCTCCACAGGTGTTCAGGGCCCCTGGCAGCCAAGCCTCCATCTAGCATCTGGCATCTGGCTTGCCAGAGATCCCAGAGGGCTGGCTCCCACTCCCCATCTCTTCCCAGTCCCCCATGGTGAGGAGAATGGGACCTGTCACTATCCTGGGGGCACCTGGACATGAACGTTCCCTGTACCTACACAGGAAGTCCTTTCCATGACCTGGCTAGTGCAGCCCCTAGGGGACCTTGGAGCTCCAGACTTGACCAAGTGCTTGGGCCTGAAACTTGCCCCTTCCCTGCGTGTCCCTTTGGACCTTTCCCATAGCCAGCAGAGGCATTGGGCTATACTTAGGGCCTAACCTTTTGCTGCACCCCTATAGTGGTACAGCTCAGAAGAGCATGGATTACTATGCCCATTTCATGGATAAGGCATTTGACTCTCAGAGAGGCAGAGACTCACTCACTTAAGGCAACACCAGACTTGTAGCAGACCCCAGGGCTCCTGACTTGTCACCCAGTACTCCTCCCTCCCCCCTCCCCATCCCCCCAGCTGTGAGGTGGGATCCTGTTCAGGACTTCAACAATCTAGATGGCATCTCCTCTGTTCCTTCTCACCCCAAGCTCTTCCCAGAAGTCCTTCCTAGGGGCTCTGCCTCCCTCTTGGCCTCGTGCCATGTGGCTGCCTTCCCTGGGCTCTCTCCAGCTTCATCCCCCAGTGCTTAGAACATGAGCTTCATGTTCGTTCCCTTTTCTGTATCCCCAGCCCTTACTTAATGCAGCTCCTGGCATCCAGTGAGTGCTTAATAAATGCTTCGTGACCAACTGACTGACTAGTCTGGGGTGGGCACCATGGAAGATGAAAAGGAAGGGAAGGGACTTGGGGACTGAGAGAGGGGGAGAAGTCACGTGGGCCAGAAACCGGAGTGCAGGTGAGTGAGCAGCTGTAGTGGCACCCAGTGGCTGAGGGCCCTGCCTCTCCCTGCTGCCGACTCACCAAGCCCAGACTGGGGCCCCCACTGAGCGCTGTCTTCCTGCCTCCTTCCAGAATTCTTCGGGGGAACTTGATCAAAACAATTGAGGAAGGGGCCTTCGCCGAGCTTCCTCGCCTGGTGGAGCTGTGAGTGGCAAGCATCCCTGAGACGGGGCTGTGTTGACAGGGGTTGGGGATGGGGGGGTGGGGTGAGGAGGCAGAGACTCCTCAGGAGTTGCCTGGAGATGTCTCCTTATGTCCCATTGTAGGACAGAGAATCAAAAAACGTCAGAGTTGGAGGAAATCTTCTTAGGATAGAGAATGTCGGGACGGGGAGGGCCTTTAGAACAGAGAATGGAGGAGTCCCCGGGGCCTCAGAACAGGCGTCGTCAGAGCTAGAGGGCACTGTCCCTCCTATCAACCACCCCCAGCCCCACACTTGGAATCTGGAACTGCTTTATCTCCCTGCAGAGATCTGTCCAACAACCTCCTGACAGAGATGCCTCCATTGCTGTACCAGGGCCTCCAGGACCTCCAGATGCTGTGAGTCTGGCCTGCTTTGGTTATCTAAGGGCACCCACAGCCTGGTTATTGACCGGAACCCAGAGCTTGACCCTCCTTCTTATCTGAGTGCATTGTAACTGGCCCAAGGTCACAGCCCTTGTGGTTTGAGGGGTGAAGGATAAGAGGCTTGGGAGGGGGGAGACAGCCCTGGGGCGTCCAGACTCTGGACTATTCCCTCAACAAAACAGAAGGAAGTGGTCTCCCTTCAGCCCCACTGAGTGCCTCCTTACCCTGACACCATATAGCCTCTGGTAATAGAAGTGATGTTGCTGATGATGAGGCCAAGCAGGGTGTTATGATGAGGAAGACCAGCCTATCACCCCAGGGTGATACCTGAGCTGGGCAGTGCCACCCCAGCCCCTCCAGCCCTCTCTACTTTCCACTCGCAGGAACATCTCTGCCAACCCTCTGAAGCAGATCCCTGTGGACCACTTCGACAGCCTGCCCCAGCTGCATTCACTGTAAGTGGGGGAGCTTCTCGGCCTAGGTTATGGGCAAGAAGGGGACACCAAAGGCCTGGGATTTGGAGAAACAGTCCAACCCTGGGGGTCTACAGATGAAGAAACTGAGGCCCAAGGAAGCTAAGTGACTTGCCTAGGTCACATAGGGTCAGTCTCCCATGACTCCAGTTCCCAGATTCTTTTCTTCTCAAGGGGCAGCGCTGGAGCAGAGGGGGTGAGACTAAGTGGCACTGTTCTCCACCTCTTCCTTTCCCTCCTCTCACTTCAGGAGCATGGAGGGCATGGAGATCCCCAACATTCAGAACCGAATGTTCCAGAAACTGACCAACCTGTCCCACATGTGAGAGCCTGGGAGGGGGGGAGGGCTGGAGAAGGGGGGCTGAAAGAGGATGGCTGGGGGGATGGCTAAGGGAGGGCTATGGGGCTCAACTCAGCGCAGGGAAGTCAGGAACAAGCCCTTTACCAAACCTCATTGTCTATGGTCAAGGGGAGAGCGGTGAGGTGAGAGAGTGGGTGGCAGGGTGATGGGGACGGGGCAGGGTTTTGGCAGATCTGTGGTGGCTCAGGTGGTGCGGGCCTCCTGTGGGGTAGTGACCAGTGGACTGGGAGCTTTCTGTGGAGCGTGAGGGACCTGAGTGGTCCTCCGATGAATTCTCACACCCTCGTGACAAAGGGGTCTCCACCAAAATCATTGCCTTATTAGCAGCTCCTGGGTCTTCCCAGTTAGTGAGGTCAGGTCTAGGGTGCACATGAGGGCAACACTTGGTCATCGGAGAAGGACATGAACGTAAAAGGCAGAGGCTTGTGCTTAGCACTGAGTAGGCCTCCCAGTTTAAGAAAAGGACACAGCCAAGTTGTTGAGACCATCCAGAGAAGGGGGAAGGGGCCCCAGTCCTTGCTTCACAATAACAAAAATAATAACAAATCAGAATGGCTAGCATTTCTACAGTGTGCACTGCACACTAGACACTGTGCTAGGCACCTTACAGATATCATCTCATTTCATCTTCACAACAAACCTGGGAGGTAGGTTATATTCTGGTCCCCATTTTACAGTTCAGGAAACTGAGGCAGCCAGAAGTTCAATAACTTACCTAGAGTCACACAGCCTGGAAGTGTCTGAGGCTACATTTGAACTCAGGTCTCCTTGACTTCAGGCCAGGGCTCTGTGCGCTGTGCCACCCCCTAGCTGTCTTTGAGAATTGACTGAAGGAACTGAAGTATGCTTAGCCTAGCTTAGAGGCACAGAATGGATGTTTTGGGATATTTCATGGGCCTTCTTGTGGAAGAGCTACTAGAAGCCGAGGTCAAGGAGAGGGAAGGGGCAGGGAGGCAGATTTGGGCTCTTTTAGAAGCTAGTGGGTTCCCTCTCATTGTAAGTCAACAGTCAGTCCACAAGCATTTACTAGGCACTGGGTGTGCTAAGTGCTGAAGATACAACAAAAGCCAGAAACAGTCCCTGCCCTCAAGGAGCTTACAGTGTAACGGGGAGCCAACACGCAGACAAATATACATAAACAAGCTTTATACGGGGTAAATTGTCATACAGTCAAATACAGTAGAAGAAAGGCACCAGCATTAAGGGAGATCCAGTCAGGGACTAGGCTTCCTGGAGAAGGTTGGATTTTAGCTGGGGCTTGTCAGGAGACAGGAGGGAGAGGCATGGGGGACAGCTAGAGAATGCCCAGAGCCAAGAAGAGAAGGACAGTCTTGTCTGAGGAACAGCCAGGAGGCCGGGGTCATTGGATAGAAGAGGATGTGGTGAGAAGATCAGAAAGGGTGGAGGGGGCGGGGCATGAAGGGCATTCAACGCCAAGGAGACCATCTTGTATTTGCTTCTGGAGGCCCTAGGGAGCCTGAGTACTGGGCTGAGCCTTACTGAGTAAGGGAGTGACCTGGTCATATTAGCACTTTGACAGCTGAGTGGAGAATGGAGTTGAGTAAGGAGTGACTTGAGGCAGTAGCTATTGTGATAATCTAGGTCTGAGGCAATGAGGAGAGAAGGAGATGTATGTAGGAGATGTTACAAAGGTGATATCAACAGGATTTGGCAACAGCTCAGACATGAGAGGGTTAGAGAGAGTGAAGCGTCAAGGATGACATCTAGACTGGGAGCCTGGGGGACCAGGGAGGACGGTGGTAAGATAGTAATCGAGAGCTGAAGAAGAGGGGAGAGTTTGGCAAAGAAAGACGATGACGTCTCGTGTTTCTAATGTTTCTTGTTTCTTATAAATATGTTGAGTTTAAGATGCCTACCAGACATCCAATTTGACATATCTCATAGGCAGTTGGAGATGTGAAACTGGAGGTCAGGAGTGAGGTTAGGGCTGTCTCAATAGTTCTGAGAATCATCAGCATAGAGCTAAAAATGAAATCGATGGGAACTGATGAGATCATCGAGTGAGATAGTATGGAGGGAGAGAAGGAGAAAAGGGCCCAGGACGGAGCCCTGGGGGACCCCCACAGTTGGTCAGTGCAACCTCAGTGAAGATCCAGCAATGGAAGATGAGACCCAGGAAAATGCAGTGTCCCAAAAACCTAGACAGAAGAGAGCATCCAGCAGAAAGGGGTTGTCTGCCGTGTCTGAGGCTACAGAAGGGTCGAGGAGGATGAGAACTGAGGAAAGGCCACTAGATTTGTACTAGTGCCTTTGGAGAGAGCAGTGACCGGTGAATAATGAAGTTGGGAGCCAGATTGCAGAGAGTAAGGAAAAGAGAGAGAGAGGGAGAGAGATATGGGGAGTGGGGGGAGGGGCATCTAGGTGGCACTGTAGTGGATAGAGCACAGGTCCTGGAGTCAGGAGGACCTGAGTTCAAATCCGGCCTCAGACACATAACACTCACCAGCTATGTGACTCTGGGCAAGTCACTTAACCCCAATTGCCTAGCAAAAAAAAAAAAAGTCAGAGAGACAGGGGGAGAGAAAAAAAGACAGAGAGACAGGGGGAGAGGAAAAAAAGACAGAGAGACAGGGGGAGAGAGAGGAAGTGGAGGAGCCTTCTCCACTTTGGCCATCCGTCAGTTGCTACAGGACAGCTGTAACAACTGAGAGAGGATGGGGGAGCCATGGGCATGTTTGTGGGTGGCAAAGAAGCAACCAACAGACAGGAAGAAATTGAAGATTAGAGAAAGGGCATGATAGCTTCCTGGAGGAAACTAGATGGAATGAGAAGTGGTGGTGGTCCTGGTCCCGCTCCCAGTCCTTCATTCTCAAAGAGGATGGAGGAGAGCATGCATGCCGAGGTTGGCCAGCCACCTGGTGGATTGAGTGCTGAGGAGTGAGGAAAGAGGAAACAGAGGCAGTTGGCTGAGAAGGTGGGGCAGGCGGGGACAGAACACAAAAACTTGGGGGGACTGAGCGCTGGTGACAGTTCTTCTGTCCTCGAGTGTTGAAAGGTTCCAGGAGGTTGAAACTTGGAGGGGAAGCTATGGGGGAGGAGGGTTAGGAAAGCCTTGGCCAGCCTGCCTTGGCTTTTTGTCTGAGGAGATCAGTGACCCCCTCCTTTCCCTCTGGCCCCATCCCCACAGTTACTTCGACCACTTTCAGTACTGCAGCTATGCCCCCCATGTGCGCAGCTGTCAGCCCAACACAGATGGCATCTCCTCCTTGGAGAACTTGCTGGCCAACCTGCTCCTTCGTGTCTTCGTCTGGGTCATCGCCTGCGCCACCTGCCTGGGCAACCTCTTCGTGGTGTGCATGCGCTCCCTCATCGTGCCTGAGAACTTCCAGCACGCCATGGCCATCAAGTGTCTGTGCTGTGAGTCATCCCGAAGGGGCTGTGCCAAGGAGGAGGTGGCACTTCTGTGGCACTGCCAGGGGAGCTGGGCATCTCTCGCTGGGTTTAGGGTTAGCACTGCTTTACCTTTCCTCCCAATAACCCCCCAAAAGGACGCTGATACAGGGGAGGAGAGGAACAAGCATTTATTAAGGACCTACTGTGCGCCTACACACAGGCTCTCATCTGATCCTCACGGCAACCCTGAGAGGAAGGTGGTGTTATTATCCTCATTTTACAGTTGAGGAAACAGACAGACAGATGTGAAGGGAGTTGTCCAAGGTCACACACCTCTTAAGTGCCTGACTGCAGGTCTTCCTGGCTGCAGACCCTGTGCTCTAGCCACCTAACGACAAGGATTAGGAGCAGGAGGAAGTGAAGGGCACACTGAGCCCTTTACTGGACGCCCTCAGGGAATTTACGTTCTAGGTGGGCGAGATGACCTAGACACAGATAGCAGCTCAGATTTAAGGGCCTTGGAGAGGCATGGAAGGAGAAAGATGTGCTTTTTCCTGCATTACAGCAATCACTAGCTTTGGAAATGGAGGAGACGCTAGTAAGGTTTCACCAGGAAGGAGTCCCATGGCTTGGCCTCAGTTCTCTCCTCTGTCTGTGAAGTGAACGCAGGATGCATTCAGCTAGATGCTCAGGCTCTGAAATTCCAGGAATGGCTCCTCCTGCCACCCTGGCACCTAGATGCCCAAACTCCCTCACACCCGTATATACACACGTGTATACCCCAGGCAGCCCAGATGCACACACACGTGCACACAGGCAGACTCAGGGCCACACACATGCACCATCTCCATCGGGCTGGGTCTCACATCTATCTTTGTTCCACCCTAGGTGCTGACTTCCTCATGGGCATTTACCTGTTCTTTATTGGTGCCTCTGACCTGCGCTATGCTGGCGAATACAACAAGCATGCCCAGGCCTGGATGGCCAGCTCCCAGTGCCAGGCTGTGGGCTGCCTGGCCATGCTGTCCTCCGAGGTTTCTGTGCTGTTACTCACCTACATGACGCTAGAGAAATACGTAGGCATCGTCTTTCCTTTTAGCCACTACCGAGCTGGCCGCCGGCAGACCCTCGCCACTCTGGTGGCCATTTGGTTAGTGGGCTTCACCATTGCTGTGGTACCCTTCTGGAGCCAAGGCCCCTTTGGCAATTACTATGGCAGCAACGGTGTCTGCTTTCCTCTCCATTTTGACACTCCTGAGAGCACCATGGCCCAGCACTATTCCACCGCCATCTTTCTAGGTGAGGGGCCTACACGGGGGGCTCTTGGGGGTGGGGGGGGATAGCAGCCATTGAGATCACGGGCTGGACCTCACTGGTTACCTGGAGGGATGAATAGAAGATCTCAGACATCTGAAATTCTGCTAAGATGCCGGGTGCCCGCTCAAAGCACCTCACAGCTTAGGCCCCTCCTTGGCAGGATCCCAGACCTAGAGCTGGAAGGGACCTCACAAGGACCTCCTAGGGGGTCTAGGCCACCCCCCCATTGAAATCTTCTAGACTGGTTTGGTATCATGGCGCCCTTTGGCAGTCTGGTGGGAAAGAAGTCGATGGATGCCTTCTCAGAATCCAGGCAATGCTAGAATTCAATTCGAGAGTCATGAAGTAAAGATGTCATTTTTTTCTCTCATCTAAATTCACAGACCCCCTGAAATCCATCCACAGACTCCTTGGGGTCCACGGAGCCTAGGTTAAAAGCCCCTTCTCTAGAAGGAGAGCCAGTCAATCAATCCATACATTTATTAAGGGGCTGCTGCATGCCCTAAGCATGGAACCGGGCTCCAGCTCTCCAAAGATGAGCACTATGTAAATATTAGCTATTACCCATCAATCTTCCAGCAAGTGTCTATTGGGTGCTAGGGAGACAAAGACGAAGAATGGGAGAGCCTTTACTCTCAAGAACCTTCTGTTCTGACATGGGAAGCAACAGTTGTGAGCATAACACACACATGTACGTCTGTACACACATAGGTATGTATATGCATACACGCATACCTGTGTACTGTGCACGCACGCGCCAGTATACATATGCTGTACACAATCTGCACCTAGGCATGTATCTGCATGTGTGCATGCATAAACACACACATATGTACTGTGTGCAATTTACATGCCCAGACATGTGTGCATACACGCACACACCTGTACTGTGTGTGCGTTACATGTGTGCGTACATGCACACATACACAGAATAAATACAGAGTAGTTGAGTGCCTTGTTGTGGCAGAGGGGCTTGTATAGCTCAATGAAACTAGGAGCCATGCCACGCAGGGCTGCTCAAGACAGACAGGTCATAGTACAGAGCTCTAATAAAAGGTGACCCACTGGAAAAGGAAACAGCAAACCATTGTGGGATCTTTGCCAAGACAACTCCACAGATAGCATGGTCCGTGGGGTCACGAAGAGTCGGACGCCACTGAACAACAACATTAACACGTCAGGAGGGACGGGAGATGGAACTCAAGCTCCGTCTGGAAGGAAGGTAGAACTAAAGAGGGGCGAGCACGTCCCATCCATGGACACTGTTCTGTCCTGCTGCAGGGGTCAACCTGATCGCCTTCATCACCATGGTCGCAGCCTACAGCAGCATGTTCCACTCGGTCCGTGTCTCCCGTGCCCGCTCAGCAGAACCCGGCACCTTTTCTCGGGAGGTCTCTATTGCCAAGCGCTTCTTCTTCATTGTCTTTACCGATGCCCTCTGCTGGCTTCCCATCTTCCTCCTAAAGCTGCTGTCGCTGCTGCAGCTGGAAATCCCAGGTATGCAGTGCAAGGGGGATCCTCCCTGAAGCATCCTTTCCCCCCACCCTTTCTCTGTCTCTGTCTTTCTGTCTCTCTCTCTACTGCAGCCTGATCTCTTGCCAGGGTCAGAGGTTGGGGACAGTGAGTGTTACTAGGGGATGGGGAGGAAATCTGGGGTCTCCAGCAAGGGCTGACAATATGAAGCATGGGCATAAGGGGGAGGGGGGAGGGAGAGAGAGAAAGGGACGGAGCACTGGGCAGGTCAAAAACTTGGAGTTGGGAGGAACGACCTTCTGAAGCCAAGCTAGGACTTCAACCTAGGCCCTCAGCCTCCAAATGTAAGCCTGCATTTAGGGAGTCGAGGGGCCTGGCTGGTCAGGCTGGGGGTCAGGCCCTGCTTTTCTGGTGGATACCAAGGTCCTTGGCTAACATCTCCTTCCCTCCTCAGGCACAATTACCTCTTGGGTGGTCATCTTCATCCTGCCCATCAACAGCGCCCTGAACCCTGTCCTCTATACCATCACCACGTCACCATTCCAGGAGAGACTGAAGCAGTGTCTTCGGCGAGAGACTCATTCTCTTCCCTCCTCCCAATCCACAGGCCCAAGCTTCACCCTGGTGCCACTCCAAGTCACTAGTACCAGAGACCTGTTGGGCCCAGTGGGCCAGCGCACAGGGAGGACTGTATTTGGGCCTCAGGACTGAAAGAGGGTGACATATGGGGGGAGGGGGGAGAGAGGCTCTGTGTGTGTGCTGTGTGTGTGTGCGTGTGTGTGGTGTGTGCATGTGTGTGTGCATGTGCTTGTGTGTGTGTGTGTGTGCATGTGTGTGGTGTGTGCATGTGTGTGTGTGTGTGTGTGTGTGTGTGTGTGTGTGTGTATAGAGGGGAAAGGGAATCAGGGACCTAGATCAGAAATGGCACTGGCCCTGAGCATGGCCCCCAAACTGGGACCTGAGTGCTCTAGGTCTGAATGGAAGAACCATGATGGGGAGAGTGCCCCCTGGCCTACCTAAGGCCCTCTCCTTGCCATGGCAGGTCCTCATCTCAGCAGAATGGCCTCATGGCCTCTGGGCAGCCCAAGGACAAGGGGCAGAAGGGAGGGAGAAGGAGAGGTCAGGCATTATTAGCACCCCTGGGTTCTGTCTCATCTCGAACTCACACATACTCTGGGAGCAAATGCCATTCACCTCATGTCAGGCACTTGGAAGATGGGAATGAGGACCCAGACCCGCCCCAACCCAAACACACACACACACACACACACACACACACACACACACATACACATACGCACACACATGCACACACAGCTGTCTGGAACCACTAAGGTCATGTTTGTTTGGGGTGTTTTGGGACCCCCAGATTAGAGGTCAGAGAAGAGCCCAGAAATCTTTTCAGCCCGTGGTCCCACTGTCATCAGACCCTACTCCAAAGAGTCTGTTAGGGGACGGGAGAACAAGCAAGCACTCCAGGCCTTCCCCCCAGACCTCAGACCAGGCTGGGGTGCTTTCACTCTCACATCCCAGGACTTTCTCCCAATAGATCCTCCCCACTAGCCAACTCATGGTGGCCCCACAAACCACCCCCTGCCAAGAGGCTGCCCATCCCCCCATTTATCTTCCCCTCACCAGCCTCATGCCCCCAATTTTGCCCACTGCCCACCCTGTCAGCTTGCCCCACCCCATGCCATCCTGGCCTCAGTCCTCCCTTGTTCTTTTACCAAAAACGGGGCAGCCACGTGGTACTGGTGGCTGTCTAGCTATATCTATAGCTATATAGATATGATTTTTCAGTTGAGGGGTCACAGATGCCCCTTGCATCACCCCCCTGTCTGCCCAGTTTCCTACAATCCCATCCTCAGTTCCCTGGGCTGAGGTCCCTTGCAGATGCCAACAGTTACAGGGAGGCTCTGCCCCCGACTTCTCTGGGCCTCAGTTTCCCAGGCCACAGCCTGAGAGGGTTGGGCTTGCCTGAGGATGCTTCATTTCCTTCTGGCTCTGGTATTCAGGGAGAGGTTTGGTTGAAAAAGAATGAAATTCCCACTGGCCACATACTGTTATGATCAGGTGGCCACTGGGAGATGCAGTCAAGGCCCTTCCGGACTGATGGAAGAGACTGGAGGGAGGGTTTTAATCAAGCTCAAAGAAATCCTTGGGCCAAGCTGGCCTGCCTGTGGCACCACATGGGTGCGAGGATACCTGAGCCTCTAGGTATGAGCAGGGACGGTTCTCCCTTGCCTGGGGCATGCTCAGCATTATCAGCACCCCCCTCCCAACGCATCCCTCAGGATGGTGGGATGGAGAGTCTGAGGCAGCCAGTGAGCCTCTGGCTGTGGGGGTTAGGGCCCAGGGGACGCCTCCTGAGTGCATTCTGAACACATCTGTCCTCAGATTTCCTGGTAGCCTTGGAGGCAGGCTTTCTGCCTGGGTTTAAATGTTGATTGCCACCTGTGTGACTTCCAGCAAATCCCACCCCTGCCTTGGGCTCAGTGAAAAAGCTGGGGTCCTGTGGGACCAACCCTCTCTTGACATGTTGAGGGAAAAGAGGGGACAGACAGAGTCGCTGCTCTTTCCCAGATGGGTTCTTCCCTTGGCCACCTTGACATCTAGCCACCAGGGGATATTCTGAGCTCTCCTTTGGGGGGAGGATGGATGGGTTCATGCCAGCCAGGACCCCTCCCTCCATTTACAATACCGTGAAGCATAAGGGAGATGAGGATGAAGAGGGGAAGAGGAAAGAGAGGCCAGAACAAGGGAAAACCATCCACCAGGCCCAGCCCCAGCCTGGGCATGGGCGTCCTACCTCTAATCTAGTGCAGCAAGGATGCGAAAGGCAGAGGTGGGAGGCAGGACCACGCCAGTGGCCAACCGGAATTATCTTCCTGGAATGAAGGATACCGGGGGAACTAGGATTTCCACCATTTATAAGTTTTCTTGCCCTCAACTTCTGAAAAGGAGCCAGGGCAGGACCAGGAATTGGCTGGTTCAGGGTCCTCTGACATACCTTCAGCAGGTGGTATAGAGGACGAACAAGCATTTATTAAGAACCTACTGTAGGCCAGACACTGTGCTAAGTGCTAGAACTACAAAGGAAGGCAGGAACTAGTCCCTGCTCTCCATGAGCTCCCAGTTTAGTGCCCTAGAGGTGGTATACTCAGTGTGGGCCTTCTAAACTGTGTGAGGCAGGGGGGAGGCCCTGGCTTCCCATCCCCCCTCACACACGACCATGTGACTCTGAGCAGGCTATGCTATCTCCCTGGGCCTCAGTTTCCCCCTGTGTAAAATCAGGGTGTTGGGCTTGACAGCCCCCGGAGTCCCTTTCAGCTCCACCTGGATGTTCCGGTTCATGTTTTCTTGGCCATCAATGACTTCCTGCCATCGGGGTCCAGGTGTATCATCTCTCTTGATTAGCCCACACCCTTGCAAGTGGCCCCTGAGAAAAAGCCAACGGAGACCAGTGCAGAAGGGAAAGAAGTCATTCCCCAGTGCCCAGAGGGGCACCCAGGTACAGGGAGAGGCCACTGGCATCTTGGCACATTTGGGACAGGCGCAGCTGGTCTCCACTAGGTGAGAGGTTCTCCAAGGTCAAAAGGCCTCTTCCAGCGTGGGAGCTCCCGAGAAGGTGGGAGCAGATGTGGGCCCCCTTCCTCCCAACAGGGGGACCCAACTGGGACTTCCCTTAGCTACATCCTACATTACCACCTCCCTGGCTCCAGAAATGTCCATCGTTCCAAATCTACTGCCTGCCAAGTTGGTATTTAAAACTATTCTGAGGCCCTTTTCGGCAAAATGGAGGCGGCCTCACCCTAACCAGTCTCTTCTCCCATGATTTCTTATTGTCTGGGACACTTATCACGTGCCCTCCAGACCCCAGGCAAGTTCCCTCTTCTCCAGGAAACATACGTCAGCCGCCTAGGTCCCTAGTGACCATTAGCTCTCCCTCTACATTCAGTTCATTTCCCTACCTAGCTGGCCGAGAATTGTGCAGTCCAGGGAGAAAAGCCCAGCCCTCCCCTCGCTGCTCTCAGGACACTCTGGTTCTCTGGCATTGAAAGTATTGTTCATCCCAGAGCATTTCTTCTCCTCCCTGAGAACACCCCTCCTCCCACCCCCAGCCTGTTGGCCCAAAGCCTCCGAGGAGGAGGAGAGATGTGCTTTTAGCCCAGAGCATGCTCTCCTCCAAACTAAAACCTAGGTTGGCGTCTTGGCAGCTGAGACTGAGGAAGCAAAACGCAAGGCAGGATTTTGGAGAGGCTGAGTAGCAGGAGAATAAAGGAGAAAGGCGGGGCACTCAGGTCCCCAGGTAAGCTGGCATTCCGCTCAGACTCTACTGGGAAGTGGTATGGGATTTTGTCCTGTGGGAGTGAGGGGCCAGAACTCAGCTTCCACCAATGGCAGGTCCCTGCTCCAAAATCTGTTCACCAATGGGGATAGGACAGATGCCTGAATCCAGGGAGGGAGAGCCCTATCTTCCGGTGAAAATCAGAGAACATCCGCGCTAGACATGGGTTATGGGAATTCAGTCAGTCACCAAGGCCAGATGCAGCACACCCTCTGTGCCAGGTACTGTGCTAAGGGCTGGGAATACAAAGAAAGGCAAAAGCAAGGAGCTCAGAGGGGAGAGGGGAGAGAGGAGACGGAAGTGATGAGCTGCCAATCCATAGCTCCATACAAGCCACACACAGAGTATATGGAGGAGCATCTGAGAGGGGAAGGGGTCAAGAACTGGAGCAGGAGCAGAGAGCCTCCAAAGAAGCCAGTGACTGGCTCTGACTGGAGCAAGTGAGGGAGCTGGGCATTCCTGGCATGGGGCAAAGGCATGGAGGTGGGAGATAGAGCATGGGAGGGGGGAGAATGAGCAAGTAGACCAAGTTGGCTGAATCACACATGTCTTTTAGTTTGCTTTTGTCTGTCTTCATGTACCCTCCCTTCATTCCCCAACATATCCATACCCACTCTCTCATCCCTTAGAACAAAGAATAATAAAGAAAGAGGGGGAACACCACAGTTCAGTGCCACTAACCACTCCCCAGAATCCAACAGTATAGGCAGTGCTCCATACTCATGGTCCCCCACCTCTGCAAAACAGGGAGAAGGTGCTTTCTCATATTTCTTCTTTGGTGCCAAGCTTGATCGTTGTGATCATATGGTGTTTACTCTCCATGGCTGTTTTTGGTCATTCCATTGACATTGTTGCCATGTGGTCTTGGTTCTGTGCCACTCACTTTGCCTCATATTACAGAAGTTTCCTCATCATATTCTATGCAGCCATTCCCCAAGTGATGGGCATGTTCTTTGTTTCGAGGCTTTTGCTGCTACAGTAAAGTGTTGTGCTGAATCTTTTGGTGTATAAGGGACCTTTCTTTTTCATCACGGACCTTCCTGTCACTAATAGTCACTTTCATAGAGTAATTCCAGATTGCTTTCCAGAGTGGTCGGACAAGTCCAGTTCCACCAACCACAAAGCAACATCCCTCTCTTTCTACAGCCCTTCCAACATTTACTATTCCCATCTGTTCTCCCCTTTGCTTATTTGTTGTGTGTGGGGGGAGGGGTAGAACTTTAGAGTTGTTTTGATTCGTATTTCTCTTTGTTAATATTTCAAAACAATCTTTCATGTGGCAATTAGTAGTTTACAGCTGTTTTGAGAGCTATGTGTTCATGCCCTTTGACCACTTATCCATTGGGGAATGGCTTTTGATCTT